CATTCTTAAGCCACACTTCTGGCAGCTCTGAGGGACATCAAAATGGCATTAATCACTACAGGTTATTGCACACTTTTTGTGTGGGGGGACATTTTACATATGTTATCTAATTTATTTCTCATTCTAACTCTGCCAGCTAGGTTTTAATATGCCCATTTTTCAGATGAGAAAATGGAGGCTCAGAGTTTAAGGTCTCATAGTGAGTGAGTCTGAGAGACAGGCCTGCCTCCTCTCTACTCTTCTGCACTGCAGCTCATGCTGTGGGTGCTCAGAGGGCTCCCTGAAACCCAAGGCAGGTGGGGTGGGAGGGAAGCTTGATTTTTATCAAGCTCTGTCATTGGTTCCTCCCTCCCTGGGATCTCAGGAAACAAGATTGCCTGTTGTTATCAGAGAATGATTAGTCTGCACCCTAGGGGCTTTGTCACTGTCTGGGCCCCCTGTCATCCATTCACACCTCTCTCTGAGTGGCACAGACCTCTCCTGGTGTTTATTAAGAGCAGGCCATGCCAACATCTGTTCCCAGCCACCCTGCCTAATGCTCACCGGGCTCGGGGCTCAGCTGACTTGGCCAGATGGAACCCAGGTGATGCATTCACACTGGAGCCATCAGGTAGGGAGGGAAGGCAGCCTTACTCAGCCTGGTGAAGTCTGGCAGACTCAGTTTTGAAAGCAGTTTTACCAGAAAAAATAATTAGGATGTCACAGCTGCTTGGAAGTGTCTTGGACAGTGTCTGAACTTAATAGGTGCAGAAGTAGAGACAGAGAGAGGCCAAAGGAGAGCCATCATCTTAATCAGCTCAGTACCTGGCATGCACTAGGTGGTCAAATGTTTGTCCAGTGAATGAACGATGAGAGGCTTTGCATTGGGTTTTAGAGTTTGGAAAACATGTCTCTATGCACTGTGTCAGTGCCTTCTCAAAATAATTCTACATGGTTGGGAGCTGGAAAAATGTTCTCACTTTACAGATGAGAAGGCTGGGGTTCCGAAGAAACTTCATGTAGGAGAAAGAATGTAGGTTCTGGTGTTGGACATACCTGGGTTCAGTCCTGACTCCACACTGACCTGTAGGGTTTCCCATGTAAAACAGGAACTAGTAATCCTGCCCACTGTGTCTTCTTGTAAATAGTTTTACTGAAAGAGCCATACTCATCCATTGCATTTCATATATTTTCACTGCATATTTTCTACAGCCACTTATGTGCCATAAAAGCAGAATTGAGTAGTTGGGACACAGACTGTGTGGCTGGCAGAGCCTAATATATTTACTATGGATTCCTGTATAGAAAAGCTTGCTCACCCCTGTTCTGCCTGGGGTGTGTTAAGCACTTAATTAATGTTGGTCTTTTCTTCTCTCTAATGAAGAAGTGGCTTCCTCATGATGTGATTTCTGGCAAAGCCAGACTCTCACGCAGATCTCCCCGTCGCCCAGCTCGCCTCCACCCCCAGGGCAGCTCCCCTGATCCCTTTGCCCTCTGTGGGTGGGTGGGACAGCTCCAAGCTCAAGTAGACCCCATCCTGGCCTCGGGAGGATGCAGCCAGCGTGAGGGCTCGAGTCCTGCGTTAGGAGGATGCCAGCGTCTGCCTCGGCCTCAAGCTCCTTCTATAACGGCACCCAGATCCTTCATTTTCCCAGCCTGACACAATCGCTTCTCTAGACAGTAACAGCCCCAGTGTCAGGTCTTTGTGTTTTAAATAATGTTCCCGATGTAACTGATGTTTATTCAGAATCAGTCCTTTCAGAAACTAACAGCCTCCTAATTTGTGCAGCAAGCTGTCTCCAGGTTCCCGGGAAGGGGTCTTTTTTTGTATTTTTCTTCCTTTCCTTTGTCCCTCTCCGGCGTCCTCCGTGTCTCCTCTCGCTGTCTCTGTTCTTCTCCACGCACGCAGTGTTTTTATCTGCAGTGTCGTCTCAGCCTTTCTGTCTCCTCCCCCACCCCTTCCCCTCCACACGTGCACACATTTGTTCTGTTTACTTCCTTCATGTTTGCTCCATTTTGAATCTCTGTGTTTAGTTTGTTTCTCCCTCTCTGTCTTTCTACTAATCTAATTTTATCTTTGTCTCTCTTGCCGCATACTTTGCCTCCATGCTCCTCTGTTTTAATCTCTATATGATATTCTTCTGGATCCATCCATCCACCCGTCCGTCTGTCCATCCGTCCGTCCATCTGAATATCCACCCATCCACCCATTTATCCATCCACCCATCCACCCATTTATCCATCCATCCATCCATCCATCCATCCATCCATCCATCCATCATCCATCCATCCATCCATCCATCCATCCATCCATCCATCCATCCATCCATCCATCATCCACCCATCCGTCCATCCATCCATCCATCTGTCCATCTTCTTCTGGATGACTGTGTTTCTGCCTCTATGTTTCTCTTCTTTCTTTTTCGCGGTTTCTGTACATGTTTGTCTCTTGTCTCATTCTCACACTTTGACAGAGGGAGATTGTCTCTCCCTCTGTCTCTATCTCCTCCTCTCATTCCCCACGTGTTCTTCCCCCTCTAAGGATATTAATATGTAGTAGCCTTCACGTGGTCTCAGGATAACCAACTCTTTCCATGATTCAGAAGTGACAAGTCTCCAGGGCCCCGCTTCAGGAACTGTTCCTTCTTCCCCCACCCGTCACCCGCCGCACTCGATAGGAAGTTAGGGAGGAGGGCTAACGGCAGCTCTCTCAGCGTCCGCTCCTTGGCCCCGGCGCCACACCCAGAGCACGGAGGATTCCGACTGGGAACCCCGAGGTGCGGGCGGGCAGGGCGTGCGCTGCTGGAGAGACTTGGTAAAAGGACTGATGGGTGGAGACTGCAGCCACGCCTTCTGGTGTTTTCTTTGTTTCATTTGAAAAACATTTTACATAGTACAAGTTCTTACCAGGCCTTGTGCTGAGGGCTAAACAGGGATGAGTAAAGCTTGGCCCCTTCATGGCAAAAGCTTACAGTCTCCAGTCTTTCTAGGAAACCGTGGAGCTGATGATTAAAATCAGTAAGATAATAGAATAAACAGTGTCCACAAATGGAAAAGGAATCAGTTCTGGTTGTGGGGGCAGAGAAAGTTTCACAAAGCAGGTCATGCAGAGTAAGCTCTGGGGAGCAGAGTCCTGACCCGTGTCACTGCTGCATCCCCAGTACCTAGAGTGGTGCCCGGTACACGGTAAGCACTCGAAAATCACGTGCAGTATATGAACGAATGAATGAATGAATGAATGAATGAATGAATGAATGAATGGATTTCAACAGTTTTGGAGGATTCTTAGGAGTGTGTCAGGGAGAAAAGTTAGAGATGAGCATCCTAGACAGAACAGCATGGTTAAGGATTCGGGGAGGTGAAGGTACACACTGTGTTCAGGTTCCCTCTTCAGACCTGACGCACCCATCCCGAGATCATGGCCGATGGTCCGCACTGTGTCCCTTACTGGGCATTGCCTTCGGCCACAGGGAATTGCTTCACCCAAGGGTACCTCCTTCCAGATGGCAGCCCTTGCCAGTGAGTGGCTGACATGATGTCAAGGCCTGGATCCCTTGCCTCTTCTTGGGGCCCCTGTAAAGAGCCCTCCCACCTTCCTGAGAGCTCCCCACAGGACCCAACTGGGGCCTATGATCTACATAGAATCAACCGCATTGTAGGCCAGCCTCTCCTTTGCCCAGTCCTGTCCTGCTTATTTCCTCCAAGTGGATCCCAAGAGGGTTCCTTGATAACCCCCTATAGGCAACTCTTTTCCAGAGTCTGTCTACAGGGAACCTGACCTCAGCTTGCGTATTTAGGGAATGAAAGGGGCCTGTGGTGAGCAGATAGAGAATATGAGAGCAGGGTAACTGTAGCCGGGCAGGTGGGCAGGGGCCAGATTATAAAGGACCTTGAAAGCCAAGGAAACTACTTTAGATTTTCTTCTATAAGTAACGGAGAGCTATTGACCAGTGGGGTACCTAATTAGAGCCGGAATTTAACCTGTTCGCTGGCAGTTAGTATGAAAGATCGGACAGAAGGCAGGAAAACTGGAGACAGGAGGTAAGCTATGAGACCAAAATCTGGAGCTCCGAGCCTGAGGAGGGAAAGGATGGGGAAAGGCATGAAGGATTATCCAGAGACATCACTAGTAGCACTCATCACCCCTTCTTGCTACATGTAGATATACCGGCGTCTCCCCTTTCACAGTTCTGGATTCCACGAGTCACACATCATGGAAGATACAATGCCTCTTCTCACTGCCTGTGGGGCCCCTTTAATACCTCCTGCAACTATGGGCATCTTAGATGTTCCAGTGCTAGAGTAATCCTTGTGTGGACCTTTCTCAGGAAAACATACTCCAGAAACTTCCATCTGTATCTCTCACCTAAGAAAATTTTGGAAGAGCCATGAACCGTGGTACCTAGTCCAGCTTTATCTCTTGGGAACCTCATTTGGGGGGAATCATGTGTTTGCCTAGAATCCCAGAACCTTTCCAACAGCTGTTGTGACCAGTCTTTCAGTTTATATCCATGAAGTCAGAATGGTAGGGGTGTGCCCATTTAGAAGAGTTACCATGGGGAGGTCTGGCATGTGTAGAAACATAAATGATGCAAGTTAAGAGCTGGGCAGTGGGAGGGGGTTGGCCCAAACCTCCATTCCCCCCCATCCCAAGGTGGTGGCCATCAGCAGGAGATGTCTTCACCTTTCTGAGCCACGGTTCCCTTACTGGTTAACTGGAAGTTGGGTGCCTTCCTTTCAAAATTATGAAGATTCATAAAATAAAGGGCATAAAGTTCCAAATACAATCTTCTTTTATCACAACTAGACATACATCATGCCATATAATGATGCAACTATTGGACTGGTTTTCTTTCCTTTCCTTCTTTTCTCTTTAGGTATGTTTTTGTATCATTTTCTTGATTATAAATATAATAAACGATGATATCGAATGTAACGAGTGCACATTTAAGTTTGTTTTTTTTTAAAAGAGCTAACGATCCAGATGTCCCTGGGGTTTAACCATCCCCTTTCTCTCCAAGGGAAGAAGCGATGCTGTCCACGTACTTTGAAACCATCAACGACCTGCTGTCCTCCTTTGGGCCGGTCCGTGACTGCTCTCGGAACAACGGGGGCTGCACTCGGAACTTCAAGTGCGTGTCTGACCGCCAGGTGGACTCCTCGGGCTGCGTGGTAAGTGCCAACGACTCGTGAGTGAGGTGCGCGCCCAGGCGCCCAGGCTGCCTGCGGGAGGCCCCTGCCTGTCAGGGGCCGCTGGCCACTGCTCACCGCTCCGACCTCGGTGGCCTTCGGTTTCCTCACCTGTAGAGCGGGACGATTAAACCTGCCTTGTAGAATTGTTGAAAGAATGAAATGAGAACATTAGTCCCCAGTATATGATAGGTCCCTGAGAGCTCCGGGCTTCGGGAAGCCTGCGGCTCGTTGGGGAGTGGGGTGGGACACGGCACGTCTTATCTCTATTAATGGGGGTGCGTCACCATGAATGTCCAGAAGAGGAAGTTTTAGCTGAGACCTAAGGTTGGTAGAACGCTTGCTGGGGAAGCTGGTGTTGGAACTGATCTCACGTACCTTAGGAAAGGAGCAGGGATGGCTAACACGCGGAGAGGATGGCAAACTTGTGAGTACGGAGCTTTATTTAGTGTCTCATGTGGAATAGGACACCAAAGACGTGCGTGGCCTACAGAAGAGGGTGTCAAGCTGGGCAATTTTCCCCCATAGGAATAACCTCATTTCAAATGTGGGTATCAGGATTCCATGCCAGAAATTTTGATTCTATAGAGGGGCTTAGGTCCCAGGAACCTGGATTTGTAACAGTTTAATGAGTGTATACATATGGGGGAGACAGGGGGGCCTTGGAAGCCGACTTGAGAAACATTGTCCTACAGGCTAAGCTCCTTACCCTGGCATTCAGTGCCCTTCTTGATTTGGTTCCCTTTACTTCATTTTACACTAGAGCCAAATGGAGCTAATTAGAGGTCATTCTCTGCACGTATACTTCCCTGTTTACCGCCTCAGAGCCTTTGCTCAGGCTGTTTTATTTGCCTAAAGTGAATTGCTCCCCCAGCCCATTTAGCAAACAAGTAGATGCCTATCCAGAGTCCCCTCCTTTATGAAGCTGTTCCCATCCCCCACTTGGAGAAGAGACTATGTTTTTCTGACGATCATCACGGTTCTCTGTACCTGCATCTGTTCTATCACCTGTGATGATTTATAGCACAGCCTGGCTTTTTTCAGGTTTAATCTCAACTAACAAGCTGAGGGAGAGACCGTGGAATCTGTGGATCCAACTCAGCACCCCAATAGTGCCCACCTGGGTAAATGAGGAAGGAAGGAAAAAGGGTGGGGAGGCAGGGCTGGCCCAGGAATGGGAGTCCCTGCTCTGCACTAGGCTCTTGGGAAGCGGGCTCTTAAGGTGCCAACACATGGCTGGGAAATAGNTGGCCCAGGAATGGGAGTTCCTGCTCTGCACTAGGCTCTTGGGAAGCGGGCTCTTAAGGTGCCAACACACAGCTGGCAAATAGACAACGGCCAGGAGACCAATACGGAGATGTTTCTAGAGAATGAGATGGTGCGACGAAACCCTATTTTAGACTCAAAGATCAGCGTATCCACAGAGGTGGATGGGCCATTGGAGATTTTATTGATTAGAAATCTAAGGATTGTAAATGACAGAAGCTCAATTCAAACTAGTTTAGGCAAAAAGAGGCCGTATATTGGCTCAAATGGAAGTGCAGGCTCGGGAGGACTGAGAGGCTCAAACAGTGTCTTTGGGATCGCTCTCCTTCCCTTAGCTCTGCTTTCCTCAGACCGTGTCCTTCTCTGGCCAGCCACGCCCTCTGCACTCAGTGAGTCCTGCAGGGCGAGGAGACCTCTCTCCTAGCGCCCCCTAAAGTCACAGGATTCCACCTCAGTGGGCCAGCTGGGTTTCCAGGCCCATCCCTGTACCAGTCACTGTGGTCAGGGGGAAGGATGGGGCTCATCCCAGAAACAGTCATTCCCTGGGGCTTGGGCCAAGCGCACCTAAAATATGTGGTAGTGAGCTGGGGGAAGGCATAGACTCAAGGAAAAGTAGGGTGCTAGCAACAGAAAGAGGGGCTGTGGATGCGAGGTCAGTGTGCACCAGCAGCCGCATGCTACAGGGTATTGCAAACCAACCCTTCCTTTTGCATATCGGAAAAGCGAGGCCCAGTGAGGGAGAGGAGGGCTTGCCCAGGCCTTAGGGCTAGTCAGTGGACAGACAACTCAAAAGGATGTCCCAAGTCATTGGTGTTGCCTCCAAACCATGAGACTGATATTTCTGAAAGCATTAATCTGCCTGTCTCTTTTCCCTTTTCCCATCAGTTCTTTTTTCCTGGACTAATTAAGCTCCTTCCTGAGGGTAGATATCCCAGGAGAATGAACCCTCAGAACGCCGAGCGGTGTGCATGCGCGTGTATGTGTCTAGGCAAGAAATGTCTTTTTTCCTCTCATTAATGTAAACTGGAAAAATGAAGAGAAAGAGAGAACAAAAGGACATTCAGTCCCTGGAGGTGGAGAGAAATTTCAACAGTCTGATGAGGTTGTCAGGGAGCTTCCTCTCTAGATTAAGGATCTGATGTTGAAGCTGCAACTCCAGGGCTCGGTGGATGTAAGGCAGGCTTTCTCTCCATGACTTCAGAAGAGACAGATAAATACCGGCTTTCACACTGAAATATAAAATCTCTCTCATTTCTCTGTATGCTCTTCATCACGCCTGCAAAGAGAAACTTTTTCTAACAGCCCCTCTTTTAATAAACGCCATATGGCAAAAAGAAATCATTATACCTTATATTTTTAGAACGCTTTTAGAGCTCTCAAGGCACGTCTGCACCCAATGACTAACTCATCTTTAGGGCAAACCTGGACGGTAGCTTCCCTCAGCAATGTGGAGAGCAAACGGACTTTTCAAGGTTTCACCCCAAGGTAGCAGGATGGAGGCCAAGAACATGTCTACAGTGTCATGATTAGTGCCAGAGTCACTTTGGGTTGCTCTCCTGTGGACCGGAGAGGAGGTGGCGGCAAAGAACATTAGAAACGAGGCTGGTCCGGGTGAATTGGGCGTAGGCCCTGCGTTGGTCCTGGGAGAGCTTTACAATCTATGTTGACCTCATTAGCCTCAGTTCATTAATCTTTTTAAAAGGAAGCAATTGCTCTTAAACCCACAGGTTTCTCTGAAAAATCAAAGAACGCCGCTGTAAATTATTTGGGATTTACAAAGTGCCATTTATGTGTGAGATGATGGGACCACAATTACTGATGCCTTTATGTTCTGGATATGACATCTGGGGCCACAACATTTCAGGAGCAAACCGTATTTAATTTTTTTAGCGTTTCGGTAACCAAATTCCATTTTTGTTTTGCTCCTTTCATGGGTAGTAGAAACTCACTTCTAGATAATTTAGGTTTCCTGCCCCATCTTCTTCCTGAACATCCAAGCTCAGGGGGGCTGGTGCACGCCTAAGGCATGGCGGCCAGGAGACGCTTTGTGCTGGACCGTCGCCTCTCAGCCCTAGTACCTGCTGTCTCCTCCGGCCCTCGCCCAGCACTCTTTCCTCTCTGGTATATGCCAGGAGCTCTCTGTTCCCATGTGCCACGTAGGTGTGTGGTCCATCCTGGCACCTACTGCTGTGTTCTGTGCATCCCACCACCGGTCGTTAGAGCCCAGCTGGCTCTATCATCAGATAGCTTTTCTATTCTGCGGGGAGCACGAGGAATGTCCAGCAGCTCTTCTACACCACCCTGAGGCCATGAGGATCTGAGGGGAGCTGGATGGAGCCCTCTTGACCTAGACAGACCACGAGGGCATTTATAGGCAGCTGCTTTTATGCCAGGGATGGCACATGACCATGCTTGCCATCCACCAAATGCTACCCGTCAAAAGAGACACAGACCCCCTTTGCCCTCAGATCCCTCAAACCCACATGACTTCCTTCGGTAGCTCTCACCCACTTCTCTGCCTGGGGAGAACAGAGCACAGAGTGTCTTTTAAGCATATTCACCAGCATCTATAAGGCCACCTTCTTTGACTTCTTGCATTCAGTCAAACAACTTATCTTTTGCTCACAGTTTTGTGGGTAAGGAATATGGGAAGGGCTCACCTGGGTGATTTGCCTCTGATCCAGGATGGGTGGGCTATCTGAGGCTGGAGGGTTTGATCCAGGAGAGCCCCTTCACTTACCTGGCAGGGCAGGGGCTGGGGCTGGGAGAGCTGGCCATCGATTCTGACTGGGTTGGACCTCAGCTGGGGCTGTTGACTAGAGTGCCGGCCCATGGCCTTGCCTTTTGGTTTGGGCTCCTCACACCAGGGAGGCTGGATTTGCATGGCGAGCATCCCAAGATCAGGTGTTCCAAGAGCCTAGGCAGGAGCTGCAGGGCTTCTTAGCACCGAGTTTCAGAAGTCCCAGAACATCATTCCTACCACGTTCTATCAGTCAGACAGGTCATTTGGTCAGCTCAGATTCAAGGGGAGGGAACGGTACTTCACTTGCCCATAGAAGAGTAGCCAGGATTGTGTGGCCACCTTTAATCTACACATTTACCTACAGCGTGAATTCACAGACCAAGGCTGCCACAGCATGGAGGGACCCTGTAGAACCTCTAACCAGGCCAGCACCTCTACCATCATACGGACAGAAAGGCGAAGGCCTGGGAAATGCCAGGATCACTCAAATTCATGTAGGAAGCAGTGATCCAATCAAAACTTGATCCCAGGACTCCTTCCTCCCAGTTGCACCTTCCTACAATTGTAGTCTTTTTTTTGTTTGTTTTTTTGGTCTTTTTTCTTTTAATATGTGTTTATTGATTTCAGAGAGAGAAAAGGAGAGGGAGAGAGAGAGAGAGATAGAAACATCAATGATGAGAAAGCCATTGATCGGCTGCCTTCTGCACGCCCCCAACCAGGGATTCGAGCCCGCAACCCGGGCATGTGCCCTGACTGGGAATCGAACCGTGATCTCCTGGGTCCTAGGTCGATGCTCAACTGCTGAGCCACGCTGGCCTGGCTACAGTTGTAGTCTTATAGCATTGGCCACTGCAGCAGACCAAAGATTTACTTAGCAACACTCCTGTATCCAGGACTGTGAATGGATCAAGAGAGACAAAACCAAGAGCCCGCCTTGTTTTATAAGCTAGTTCACAAGATGAGATGCACTTCA